TGAACTGAAGATTTCTACTTGGCAAACAATTCCCTGACAAAAGATTTGAACAACTGAAGACCTACTTCTGATGCAAGCATGGCAAATTAAAAGACAAGATGAGGATATTCTGGAAGCAGCTCATCATCAGCTCTGAATGCACACTAGAAATAAGAAATACTTTGATGATACCCATAATATTCAGACCAACCCTCTTCTACCTGGAGACCTTGTCTTGCTTCACAATATCAAGAAAGAACAGAATATGTCTAGCAATAACACTCTGTGCTTTCAATAACTAGAACCCTATAGAGTTAAGTCTGCCAATCAAGAACTAGGTTCCTATCATCTTGAAGAGTTAGATAGCACTGAACTTAAAGAATCTATTGCAGGAAACAGATTGAAGAAGTACCTTATGAAATCTGGAATGAAGCTATTCAATAATAGCCCAGCAGATTCTGATGTAGAGATGGGGAACATCTCTCAAAGATATGTCACCAGAAGTCAACCTAATATTCCCTCTAGCAGTTCCTCAAATATTAGCTTCTTGGATCAGAGTGAAAATAAAAATAATCAAGAAGAAATGGAGCAAACACAATTTCCAACTGTTATTCCAGATAACTAAAGCTTTGCTGTTGTTATACCTTCACAAAATGTTTAATTTGTTGTGTTTTGTTTGCAAAAGTGAAGTTTTTTGCTTATTTTTTCAGGAAGTTTCTTTTATTTGCCTGCAAAGTGAAGTTTTTGCTTGCTCTTTCAGAAAGTTTCTCTTTCTTTATTATTTGCTTAGCATTTACTTTTTCTGAAGATATTTAAAGATCAATTTTTCTTTGCTGAAGCTTTTACTTTCTTTTACATTCAAGCTTGATTTTTTTTACAGATTCAATATTTTCTTCTATTCTGTTATTCTGACATTTGCAAATTTTTTGATCTCTGATATTCTTTACAAATAGCTGGATGAAGCAACCTGCCTCCTTTAGCACCAGCAACCAAAAATCAAGATCTGGTCATTACCAGAGACAGCAGAGTCAACTTGGATGGCCATTTCTTCAATAATCTAACAGCAGCTATGAAATACATCAATAATCAAGCTCTGCACCATCAATATGGTCTACAAGTTGAGCTGATGAACACACTTATGCAAGTGACTGATGTGGTCACTGACTTAGTGGCCCATTTCTATCAATATGTTGAAAGATCCAGAGCTTGGCAACATGTTACACACACCAATTTTGAAGCTGATTTCCATGATACTCAAAAGATTACCCTGGATGTCAAACAACATCACATTGATATGCAAAAGATCAAGGATAGGCTTGTCACTACATGGGGGATAAACAGGATTAATGCTATATGGCCAAAAGTAGAGAGCCTGTGGGCCACACAAAAGCTTTGCCATACTCTAAATGTCTACAAGGATTGGGATAAGTTTGCCAACAATATTAACAGCACAGTGCTCTGAAGACTAGATGCTACAGGAGCTGGACATCACCAGAGCTTAGCTATATTGCCAGGTGATTATACTACAGCTGACAAAGAAGTTGATCACACTTGTGAACTTTCTTCAAGAGATGCCCTACACTGATGAGGACTTACTATTGGAAACTATAGTCTTCTACAGCTGTTGGCTCTTCTACAGTCATCTAGCTCCCAATGTTCAATTCAGAATATCACTAGGAGCCCTCCCACTGCAAGCAGCTCCTGAGGTCTACTAGAAGAACCACAGTTACCAAGATCATCAAGAGATGTTCCAATGGGTGGGATGTTGATGCTGCATAGCCACAATGTATCAGGAGCCTCTATACATAGTACAATGTCAATTAGATTGCATGGATTGGAAACTGGCCAACACAGCCGCCATTTGGATTCACTAGCACACTGGCCAATCCACCCAGCCAATCAGAAGCTCTGAAGCACCAGTGAAAGAATCACAGCCATGTCAGCACACCAAACCCTCCAAGGCCTAGGCAATGAAGATGAGTCCATTATTCCTTCTGAAAGTGATGAGGAAATACTCCAACATGAACAAGAAGAATCTGTCATGGCAGTACACTCTGGTACTTGCCATTGCCATGGTTTCAAACAGCAGCTTCTCCAAAAGATAAAGAGTACTAAAACACATTCAGAATTGGAGCTTATTCGCATCCTGGAGCAATTAGGAAAGGCCTTTAGCAATAAGAAAGCTGATATCTACCTATGCTATGACCATGCAAAACTAATAGCTTCAAAACTTGGTTTGCAGACTCGCACACTTAATAGGGAGGAGCTTCTCAACCGTTTGGCTTACATCCATCTTGCCAGGAATGCATAACCACCTAGAGGATTGGTGGGGACTAGTCAAAGAATGAGGCGTATCCACTGATGGCTATGTTCACCACATTAAAGATACAATGTATACCAAAGACAACAAAAGAAAATTTGGTATTAGGTGGACTGATGTCATTTGCAAGCCTGGTGATATCCAAATTACAAGCCCTCTGCTACCCCATGAAGCCCATGGTCCATGCAAGAAGGTCTGACACACTATGCTATCCTGGTATGTGGCAATCCAAGAGGACCATGAACATCTAGAAGTCAATGAAGCTGGTACATGGTCCCAGCTCTCTGCTGCACATAGAGATCTAGTTCCAGGGCCTTTATCTCCATCCAGCCATTCAAATCATTACACATTGGTTCCATATTGATTGCCTACCACTATTCAATTACAAGGCTTAGGAGCTATATCAGATGCCCTGGTATGATGAATTAGGTGGGACAACCCCATGGTAATTGAGGAACTCAATATTCTCTTTGGCCCTGATGACAAAAAGGCTCAGAACTTCATTAATAACTGGTGCCTAAAGGCCATGTGAATTGCTCTGGATGCCATTGTCAAGACTTACCAAATTGAAAAGAAAGCTTTTGGTAATAAATCCTATTGGCATTGCGTGCACAACAACATTGACCCAGCATCAGTTCAGCCTTCTCCTCCTGAGAACTTGGTGGAAGAAGAGAATCATGGTGATCACTATTAGAGATTGCTGCTATCACTCTCCTTATTCTTATTTCCTATGTTTTTCCTTACCAGACTGCTCATTACTATTTATTATTCTCTTATTTTACTAAATTGGTTTTGTTTTATTTTATATGTTGTTTGTTGTCAGGGGACGCCAACATTGAAGGCCAGGAGAAAATGTAGTGGGGATTCCAGTACCTTATTAGAACAAAGGTTGTTCCAGTCCAAGGTACAAACCACCTCAAAGCTATGATTCTTGAGCTATATAAACTATCTGTAGCCCCTGCATCTTGCTTATTACCTTCACACATCATTGCTCTTTTCTACACACTCATTCCTTACTACCAGTTTGATTATTAGTTAGCAAATCTGAAGATTTCTTGTTCATGAAACTTGCTACTGTTTCTCATTAGAGCTGCCTGTGTTAGTACAGGGCTCTTTAGTACTATTACTCCTTGCAAGCTTAGGCATCTGTTAGGACATATCTATCTCTACACTTACTACTCAACCATACCCTTACTATGTGGTGATTTTTCACCTTTCTTGAGCTCTCACCATATCAACCAACTCGCCTACTTTGACAAGGCATCCCATCATACCCCGTTCCAATACTACAGGAACTGAACATTGCTGGAGCTTAGCTATATTGTCAGGCAATTATACTACAGCTGACAAAGAAGTTAATTGTGCTTGCAAACTTTCTTCAAGAGATGCCCTACACCAACAAGAACTTACTATTGGAAACTATGGTCTTCTACAGCTGTTGGCTCTTCCACAGTCATCTAGCTCCCAATGTTCAATTCAGGATATTGCTAGGAGCCCTCCCACTGCAAGCAGCCCCTGAGGTCTACTAGAAGGACTACAGTTATCAAGATCATCAAGAGATGTTCCAATGGGTGGGATGTTGATGCTGCATAGCCACAATGTATCAGGAGTCTCTATACATAGTACAATGTTGATTAGATCACATGGATTGGAAACTGGCCAATCACAGCTGCCATTTGGATTCACCAGCATGCTGGCCAATCCACCCAGCCAATCAGAAGCTCCAAAGCACTGCAGTGAAAGAATTGCAGCCATGTCAGCACACCAAACTCTTCAAGACCTAGGCAACAAAGATGAGTCTGTTATTTCTTCTGAAAGTGATGAGGAAATACCCCAACATGAACAAGAAGAATCTATCATGGCAGTATGCTCTGGTACTTGCTGTTGCTATAGTTTCAAACAGCAGCTTCTTTAAAAGATAAAGAGTACTAAAATGTGTTTGAAGTTGGAGCTTATTTGCATTCTGGAGCAGTTAGGAAAGGCCTTTAGCAATAAGAAAGCTGACATCTATCTATACTATAACCATACTAAACTAATGGCTTCAAAACTTGGTTTACAGACTTGCACACTTAATAGGGAGGAGCTTCTCAACTGTTTGGCTTACATTCATAGGAATCATCACAATATTAGCTCAGTCAAGACTGATGACAGCATCTATCTCTGGTTCTGTTTGGCAAATAGACCAGCTAGAGCTGAAGATGCTTTAGGCATTTACAAATTCAAACATCAGCTAATTATCTCTCTGGTCACAAACATGAGAACATTCAACTTCAACCAATACATGTGAATAACTGGAGTTAACAAGTTCACCACCAGTGATCTTCAGAAGAAATGGGAAACAACTGGATCTGTTATCATTTTCTAGTTAATGCACTGGTGGAACAATAAGTTACAAGATGCCACCACCACAGTACTCACCCAGGTCAACAGCAAATACAACATGTACTACCATTATTAGTGAATGATGGGAGGTTGCAACAATTATAGATGGTTGAGAACAATATATCACAGTATCAGCCAACAACTTATGCATCAGGACTCTGCATACTATCTATGGTATGTACTGACAAGACCTGACCATGCTTGGAAATTGATCTCCTATCTATACTACACCAAGTATGCTAAGCCAGAGGATAAAACTGGGTTTCACCATATCAATATTAATGTTCCAGATGCTATTACTACTGGAAGGGGCATTGACATGATACAAGGATTCTTGATCTTAACTGCAGAAGAGCCCAGCAACTGTACAGAAATCTTGTCAGAAATGCATAACCACCTAGAGAATTGATGGAGACTAGTCAAAGAACAAGACTTATTCACTAATAGCTATGTTCACTGCATTAAAGATACAATGTATACCAAAGACAACAAAAGGAAATTTGGTATTAGGTGGACTGATGTCATTTGCAAGTCTGGCAATGTCTGAATTACAAGCTCTCTGCTACTTCATGAAGCCCATGGTCCATGCAAAAAGGTCTGATGCACTATGCTATTCTGGTATGTGGCAATCCAAGAGAACCATGAACATCTAGAAGTCAATAAAGCTGGTACATGGTCCCAGCTCTCCACTGCATATAGAGATCTAGTTCCAGGGCCTTTGTCTTCATTTGGCCATTCAAATTGTTACACATCAGTTCCATATTGATTCCCTACCACTATTCAATTACAAGGCTTAGGAGCTATATTGAATGCTCTGGTAGGATGAATTAGATGGGACAATCCCATGGTAATTAAGGAACTTGATATTCTCTTTGGCCCTGATGACAAAAAGACTCAGAACTTCATTAATAACTGGTGCCTAAAGATCACACAAATTGCTCTGAATGCCATTGTCAAGACTTACCAAATTAAAAAGAAAGCTTTTGGTAATAAATTTTATTGGTATTGTGTGCACAACAACATTGACCCAGTGTCAGTTTGGCCATCTCCTTCTTCTGAGAACTTGATGAAAGAAGAGAATTATGATAATTACTATTAGGGATTGCTGCTATCACTCTTCTTATTCTTATTTTCTATGTTTTTCCTTACCAGACTGCTCATTACTATTTATTATTCTCTTATTTTACTAAATTGGTTTTATTTTATTTTATATGTTGTTTGTTGTCAGGGGATGTCAACATTAAAGATCAGGAGAAAATGTAGTGGGGATTTTAGTATCTTATTAGGACAAAGATTGTTCTGGTCTGAGGCACAAACCACTCCAGAGCTACTATTCTTGAGCTATATAAACCACCTGTAGCCTCTATATCTTGCTTATTACCTTCATGCACCATGGCTCTTTTCTACACACTCATTCCTTACTACCAGTTCAGTTATTAGTTAGAGAATATGAAGATTTCTTGTTTATGAAACTTACTACTGTTTCTCATTAGAGCTGCCTGTATTAGTACAGAGCTCTTTAGTACTATTACTCCTTGCAAGCTTAGGCATCTGTTAGGACATATCTATCTCTACACTTACTACTTGACCATACCCTTACTATGTGGTGATTTTTCACCTTTCTTGAGCTCTCACCATATCAACCAACTCGCCTACTTTGACAAGGCATCCCATCATACCCTGCTCCAATAGTAAGTTCTTATCAGTGTAGAGCATCTCTTGAAGAAAGTTTGCAAGTGTAATTAACTTCTTTGTCAGCTGTAGTATAATTACCTGACAATATAGCTAAGCTCTGGTGATATCCAGCTTCTGTAGCATCTAGTCTTCAGAGCACTGTGCTGTTAATATTATTGACAAACTTATCCCAATTCTTGTAGATATTTAGAATATGGCAAAGCTTTTGTGTGGTCTACAGACTCTTCACTTTTGGCCATATAGCATCAATTCTGTCTATTTCTTATGTAGCAACAAGCCTATTCTTGATCTTTTGCATATCAATGTGATGTTGTTTGATATTCAGGGTAATCTTTTGAGCATTATAGAAATTGGCTTCAAAATTGGTGTATGTAACATGTTGCCAAGCTCTGGATCTTTCAACATATTGATAGAAATGGGCCACTAAGTCAGTGACTACATCAGTCACTTGCATAAGTGTGTTCATCAGCTTGACTTGTAGACCATATTGATGGTGCAGAGCTTGATTATTAATGTATTCCATAGCTGCTGTTAGATTATTAAAGAAATAGCCATTCAAGTTGACTCCACTGTCTCTGATAATAACCAGACCTTGGTTTTCAGTTGCTGATGCTAAAGAAGGAAGGTTGCTTTGTTCAGCCATTTTTGAAGAATATCAGAGATTAAAAAATTTGCAAATGTCAGAATAACAGAATAGAAGAAAATGTTAAATCTGTAAAAAAGAATCAAGCTTGAATGCAAAAGAAAGTAAAAGCTCCAGCAAAGAAAAATTGATCTTTAAATATCTCCAGAAAAAGTAAATGCTAAGCAAATAATAAAGAAAGAGAAACTTTCTAAAAGAGCAAGCAAAAACTTTACTTTACAGATAAATAAAAGAAACTTCCTGAAAGAGCAAGCAAAAAACTTCACTTTTGCAAACAAAACACAACAAATTAAACATCTTGTGAAGATATAACAACAGCAAAGCTCCAGTCATCTGGTATAATAGTTGGAAATTTTGTTTGCTCCATTTCTTCTTGATTATTTTTATTTTCACTCTGATCCAAGAAGCTAACATCTGAGAAACTGCTAGAGAGAATATTAGATTGACTTCTAGTGACATATCTTTAAGAGATGTTCCCCATCTCTACAGCAGAATCTGCTGGACTATCATTAAATAGCTCCATTCCAGGTTTCATAAGATACTTCTTCAATCTGTTTCCTGCAATAGATTCTTTGAGTTCAGTGCTGTCTAACTCTTCAAGATGATAAGAATCTAGTTCTTGATTGGCAGACTTAACTCTATAGGGTTCTAGCTATCAAAAGTGCAGGGTGTTATTCCTAGACATATTCTGTTCTCTCTTAACATTATGAAGCAAGACAAGGTCTCCAGGTAGAAGAGGGTTGGTGTGAATATTATAGATATCATTAAAGTATTTCTTATTTCTAGTGTGCATTTAGAGCTGATGATGAGCTGCTTTCAGAATATTCTTATCTTATCTTTCAATTTGCTGTGCTTGCATCAGAAGCAGATCTTCAGTTATTTGAATCTTTTGTCAGAGAATTGTTTGTCAAGTAGAAATCTTGAGTTCAATTAGAAGAACTGTCTTCTGGCCTATTAGCAATCTATAAAAGGAGACACCAGTACTAGTCTTAGTTGTCATTTGATCTGTCATTAGAATTACAGGAAGATGTTTAATTTAATCTCTCCCAGTACCATTAATAGCTTTAGCTAGCTCATCAGCCAAAGGCTTATGGCCAACTTCCACCATATCATTTGCAGGAGAATTATAAGGTGAAATAACAATGTATTTAATGTTGAATTTCTTTAGTAAGGTCTCTACAATGTTCTTATTCTCTGATTCTCCATCCATAACAAATTTGGCAGGCAGGCCCCATTGACAGATGATATTCTTATAAAGAAATTTGGCCACAGCTTTAGCTGTTGCTTTTTTCAATGCTCTAGCTTCCACTCATCCAGTAAAGTCACATCTGGCAACAACCAAATAATTTCATTCTCAACAGAAAGGCATGTGCTTGATATCTACCCCAACTTTCTTCTAACAGATAGAAGCTCAGATAGAATGAAGCTCTTCACTTAATCTTTATAAATCTCTTTGTTAACATTGAGAACAGTGCTTCACATAAGCAGACATATCTTTATCCATCTCTGACCACCAGTATTGAGCTTCTAGGGCAGAGTATGTTCTCTCTCATTCTTTATGGCCAAATTTGTTATGCATTATATGTAAAATTTGTTTGTGCTGTTCTTTGTTGTCCACAATATATCTTAGAGACACACCAGATCCTGCTTACCTAAATAGCTGATTGACCTCCACCACATATTTAATTGCTTTTCTTTGGAATCTTACACACTCTTTTTCTTCCATGCCCAATAGTTTTGATAGAGTAGTTAAATATCATGCAATTTTCTCTGATTCTTCTGAATATGTGAAGTCCAGTATTCTAAGATCTTCACTATTGAGAGCTCAGCCAGCTAAAACTCTTATAGAATCCATAAAGACAAACAGATCTTCATCTTCTTCAGATTCAGGCTGTTCCCTAATATCTAGTCCTTAGTAAGATAGTCTATCAGCAGCTGTGTGTTTTGTCCCAGGAACATATTTAACAGTAAAGTTGAAGAGGTGTATCCAAGCTATCTAATTAATAATCAAAGCTTCTGGAACATCTGTAGCAGTTCTATTAAGTTGGGTGACAAGAGTTTTTGCATCAATTTCCAAAGTAAAGAGCACTTTATAGATATAGTGTTGGAATTTCTTGAAGACTTTTAAAACAGCTCTGTATTCTTGTTTGCCAGCATTATATATTTTCTCTGAATTACTCCATACTTCAGATTTGTATTATGCAGAATGTCAAGCTTCTTGTTGCTTCTGAATAATGCATTCTCTCCATTCTAATCCACTGGCATCAGCAGCCACAGTGATAAGCAAAGAATTCTGTTTGTAATTGATTGGAAGAATGATAGAGAATGAACATAACTTTTTTTTCAAAAGCATAAAGATATTATTTTGCTCTTCAGTCCATATTCATGTAACATTTTGTTGAAGCAGATAGTGTAAAGGTTTGATTATTCAACTATAATGCTCTATAAGTATTTGAAAATATCCAGCAAGCTCTAGAAATTCTTGTAATTCTGTAACACTTATAGAAGTAGGCCAATTTATAATTTTAGTTATCTTGGCTTTCTCAGATTACTTGCAAGGAGTAATAGTACTAAAGAGCCCTGTACTAATACAGACAGCTCTAATAAGTAACAGTAGCAAGTTTCATGAACAAGAAATCTTCATATTCTCTAACTAATAACTGAACTGATAGTAAGGAATGAGTGTGTAGAAAAGAGCAAATGATGCGTGAAGGTAATAAGCAAGAAGCAGGGGCTACAGGTGGTTTATATAGCTCAAGAATAGTAGCTTGGGGTGGTTTGCGCCTCAGACCAGAACAATCTTTGTCCTAATGAGGTACTGGAATCCCCACTACATTAGTAGCTTGAAGTGGTTTGCACCTCAGACTGGAACAACCTTTGTCCTAATGAGGTACTGGAATCCCCACTACAATACCATTGTCAGGCATCACCAAAGAAGAGTGGCAAAATATGAGGATCATATGTGTGGATCAGCATGACAATGAATCTCTAGGAGGAATATACATGGAAAAGAGTATGTGAGATAAAAATCTGTATTCTGGCAACTATATACAACTTGTAAACAAGATTGCCACTGACTTCCAGCAAGAAGTTCACACAGTGATGGCCTTTTATGTGTGCTTGCAAGCATGTGACTTAGTGTCTCATAAGAACACATGCAACTCCCAGCAGCTTGCAAGCTGAGGCCTCTGGCCTTCATGGGTGCTGTTTGTCCATGTAAGGGGTTCGCGGCAAATCCTTACCCTTTGTTATTGCCAAACCAACTTGGAAACCAGGTCTAACTAAATCTGCAAGAAAAAAAAAAAACTCAGATTCTGCCTTGCCCATAAGAACTGAACTCTAGAGAACTGGAAAAATGTTCTCTGAACTGATGAAACTTCTGTAGTTCTTGAACATAGAAGAGAAGCAGTTCATGTATAGAGAAGATTCTCAGAAGCTTATAATTCTATCTGCATACACCAGCAATAAAAGAAGTCCTCAAATGTTATGTTTTGGAGCTGCTTTACATACAAGAAGAAGAGACCCTGTCATATTTGGGAACCAGAGACTGCAGAAGCCAAATATCAAGCTTAAAAGAAACTGAATGCCTTGAATATTGATTATAAGATAAAAGCAAGAGAGAAATAAAAGCTTGTCAATGGAATTCACTGCCTACAAATTCACCCAAACCATGGAAGAAAGCCAACTTTCAAATTCACTGTGAAAACAGGCAAGCTTGTTTGATGAGACAAGAAGGAAGTTAATTGGTATAGGTACCAGAAGATGTTAAGATTCTATCATCTTACTGTTAGGAGAACCAGTTGTAGGTCATATAGATTTTCCCAGAATTAGGGGTACAAAAAAGTGTAAGGATTCACCACAAACCCCTTACACAGACAAACAGCACCTATAAGGGCCAGGGGGCTCAGCTTGTGAGCTGCTGGAAGTTGCATGCATTCTTGCAAGGCACTAAGTCACATACTTGCAAGCACACATAAAAGACCATTATTGTGTGAACTTCTTGCTGGAAGTCAGTAATAATCTTGTTTACAAGTTATATATAATTGTCAGAATACAGATCTTTTATCTTATATACTCTTTTTTCATGTATATTTCTTCTAGAGATTCATTGTCATACTAATCCACACATATAATTCTCACATTTTGCCACTCTTTCTTGATGACACCCAACAATGGTATCAACACAAAGAAGTCAACCCTCTGAAACTCACAAATCTGGAATACCAGCTGAAAATCTACCTGAAGAACAAACCCAAGTTTGCAAAAAGACAATTAATCTTGATATCTTATCTCTCTTAACTGTTGATAAAACAAGCACCACAAACTCAGAAAGAAAGTCTACCCCAATATTAAAAGACAAATTTTAACAGCTTCATAAGAAGACCAAACTACTAAAGAAAATAATGAAATGGCAAGAGAAGTTAAATGCTCTTTAGAATACTCAAAAGCACTTACAAAGTAAATCTCTTAAGATAGCTATCTTCAACTCAACACTTATGAAGCATCTGTTGATCTTGAGACCACCACAATACATAAAGTGCTACCAGACTGGAACCTACACAGAATATTACTAGTTTATCTCAGATATTAAATTCATTCACAATACAAGCAAACTAAATAATGAGAATACCCTCACATATATTCTTACAGAACTTGATTATATTGAGAAAGATCTTTGAAAGACTCACTGCAAAGACAATCTATTAAAAAATAACTAAACTAGTCTTAAAGACTTTCTACACACAAGACTAAAAGACTTAGCAAATCACATATAAAACTTTTAGCAAGTAATCTTTGATCTTTATAAAAGTTTGAATGAAACTGATTATACCTATCATCAATAATTTCTAGAGCTCACAACAAAGATTAGTGAAGAATTTAAAGATTCCACAAAAATAAAGAAGAATCTGTTTATATGAGGTTTGAATAAGCTCATGCAAATCAAACTGGATGAATAGCTGCAGATACCAGATAATATTAATGATATAGTAGTACTGGCC